CGTCCGCGGGAGGGGGGTGGGGAGGCACTTCAGGCAGGGGACGGGCTGGCAAGTGAAGTGAGGAGGGTGGGAGGGCAGAGCACCAGCCAGGGAGAGCCAGAGCCGTCACACTGCCAGGCTGGGAGAGGAGCCCTCAATTTCTGCCCCTTCCTACCAGTGCTGCCGCGGCTGGCAAAGCCAGTGCGACCGTGCGCCTGCCACAGCTCTCCCCCATGCAAGGACAGGCAATGCTGGCACAGTGATGGCGTGGAAGGGATAAACAGCAGTGTGGCGGGAAGAGGAGCTGCATACCCACCATGGAGATTACCCCCTGCTCAGCCTGCCCAGCCTTCGAAGCCTCCTTTTTCCTCAGCTGCTCACTGGGAGGGAGGGGGGGAGTGGGCAGGTAAGCAGCAAGCTGGCAGGGAGGAGGGGGAGCACTGATGATGGGGGGGAACCAGAATCAAGTGAGCACTACACTGGCAGTGGGGGTGGGGTAAGCGGCAAACTGATGATGTGGGGGCCAAAGCGGCAGAGCTCCAACGGCGGCGGGGGGGAGCGAAGCAAGCACTGCACTGACAATGGGAGAAGCAAGCTGGGCAAGGAGCAAACTGATGACGGAAGGGAGGCAATCAGGCAGCGCTCCAATGACAGGCACCGAGGATGGGGGGAGGTGTGTAGGCAGAGCAGCTCACTTTCCAAATACCAGCATCTTCATATTTCCAAAGTTCAGAACACGTAAGCAAAGTCGAGGGAACCAGATTCATGGGGTACCAGAGGAAGAAGATGACCTCCTGTATTGTATGCAATTTTATTATTTCTAATTATGTCCACAGTGATATCAGTATGCACCTCACAGGCATTTACATGTAAAATGAAAGGCAGGTATCAGGCTGTGAGGTGCTTACAATTCAGCAATGGACAAGGAGGCAATGAGCCGGTGACTAAGGAGAGAGATAAAGGTGAGTGTGCACAGATGCAGTTACAACAAGCTAAGGAGGGAAACAGAAGGGGCAGCTGGATAATATGTGACAGGCATTCACTGTGCTTCAAGTCCTCTACTGGAACATAGACTCAAACATAGAATTAGTTAGCGAATGTTCCCTTGAGATTCTCACAGGTTCCCGCTTGTTTTTCCTAAAGCAAAGAACTATTCCTGGCTTTGCTCCATCTCTTTGAAACAGTAGGTGCCCCAGAAGAGTTCAGGAGGCGACACTTTTCTTTCTTCCAGGAGCACCCATATAGAAACGGCTATTTCGCTCTCTTCCTCACCAATGTCAATTGCTGATTTTATGTCTTTGTACGTATTTTAACTCTGTTTTTAATTTGCTTTAATGATGTGTGTTGTGGGGGTTGTTTTTAATGGTTTAAAATGTGATTTTTATCATCTATGTTTTAGACTGTTTTAAACTGTCCTGGTGGTTCTTGTGAAGGCAGAAAGGTAGGATACAAATTTTGTTCATAAATAAATAAATTTCCATCACAGGACACTTGGCTGGGAACCTCCCAATATCTGGTAACTAGACCCAGCCTCCATGGCGGCCACTTGGTGGTGACGCCACTCAATGTTTTCAAAATTTTGCAAATGTTCACAGTCTCAGCAGCGTTGGTGACCCTGTTGAAAGCATGGATACCCCTCCACGAAGCTCAGGGCTTCTCATGTTACCCAGGTCGTGTGGAAAGTCACTGTGCTGCAAAGGCTCCCACGGCACCAGCATAACTTGAGAAAGGGTTTAAATCTCAGGTTGGCAGCGTTGAACAGAAGGGGGCTTCTTCATATGCTTATAGGGCTAGTCCATTAAGTTCTCAAACACACACACCCCGTTTCAGACAAATTGGTATGTGACTGTGAAACAAAACTGGTGGAGTGTGTTTGAACATTTCCTGAGGTTGACAGTTACAAAGAATCTTTCAAAATCTTGTAGAAACTGTGAAATGGGCATGTGGCCCTATGCTATCAAGGGGATAATAAGGGAAGATTGTAAGTTGTCAGCCAGGAAGTTCCACATTTAAATCTTATTTCAGCAATTAACTCAGTAGCAGAGCCTCTGTCTCTTAACCTTAGTCGTATCTCCCCCACTTGGCAAACCACGACTGACCTAACTTACAGGACTGTTACAAGAGTGACCAAGGTAACCAATGTGAAGTTCTTTAATAATCAAAGAGCCCTACACATATGTTTATTATTAATGCCCCTGATTGTTTATGATTCGATTCAATTAATTTAACACCTAGTCAAGGGGGGGAAAGATGCTTATGAAAACCAAAAACATTTGAAACTTATTTTATGAGAGTGTATAGATTTACTAACTTCCAAATAATGGAGGACCTAATTTCAACTGAGCACTCAACACACATCTTCCTAACATCATTAATGGACATTTTCCAAGTTCAGTCGATACCTTTAGTTGCACTCTTTGTACACGGGTTTCTTCTATCTTCTGCCTAATTTTCTCTTTCCTGTACTCCTCATAGGCAAATGGATTCACCATCATTTTAACCTGGGAATGCAAACAGTGGGTGGTAAAATGCAGAAGGAAAAAAACCTTGCAGAAGATGTTCTTATTTCCATTCTTCTTCTTTTTTTCACTGTCAAAAGCAGATAAATAGTCTTAATGAATTAGCCGGTTTACCTTGTGATACAGTCTTATGTCCATGAAAAAGCCATGCATGTATGCACGGAGTAACTGGGATCCAATGAGATGTGTAAGCCCTGAAAAACACATACAACAGGATGTTAATAGTTCAGCAAACCTTATGGCAGGACACAGAATATAAGGCTACTTCTATATCATCTTTTTGGCACTAGTGTAAGGAAGAGAGTAGATAGCCTACAGGCTACAATGTCTCAAACCAAGCAATTGTTTCTTTACATACATTTGGAATGCAATGCACAATACAGTTTGCACATTATTCATACATTACGACATATAGTGGGCATACAACATTTCCTCTATACCCATGTTGCAAAGGTGTGAAGGATTCCAAAGTTTTGTTAATTTTCAGGAGCCAATACAGAAGAAGGAACAGGTGGTAGCAAAGGGCAGGGATAGATGCGAGCTACATGTTCTCCTCCCACAATGCCGTGCTGAGCAGAATTACACCTTTCTAAATAGAAGGGTGCAACTCTGCTAAGGATGACACAGCCAGCTTCTTATCAAAATAGTGAATATTTGGTAGAAGAGATTTGTGCGAGATCCACCTCAATTACCATCTCTGCTGTGGCATATTAATGCTTTCATTAAAGTTTCGCCTAGGTTCATTGCCTGTGAAGGTCAGGCACATTGAACAACATCAGCTCAGTGCCAAATTGCTTAATAGTACTGCCTCCTTATGCCATCTTCTGAACAAGAACGAAATGCTTCCAGATGAAAAGGCAAGTCTTCACAGACAGACCATGCGGCAGTAACAGTACGAAGAGTAAAATGAATGAGACAGCCTGAGGAGATCATTTTCCAGGCATAGAAAATAGTCTAATGGCTCAACATCACTTATGAACATCACTTTCCATCCAAAACCTTTTCTGGTTGCATCACAGACTTCTTCTAACACCTTGGGGTAAAGTCTACACCTCAGTTGTCCATGTATAAGATAAATAATTCTCTCTCTACCCTACATATTGGACCAGTACATTGTCACATTTCTGAAGCATGTAGAAGTTTTACCATTTGCAGCACCTAAATGGACTATGAAGGACTTTCTTGAACCATGAGTAAACATCACATTTTCCTAAAAGCAAAAATGTATTCTTAACAGAACGATCTCTTTAAAGATATTGGGCAGTATCCTACCATGAACATGTCAGGAAGGTACACTGAGTTTTCCCCATGTTCCTCTCCATAGCTGAAGTTCATTCAGACCCCCAGAACGATCCCTCTTGCAGAGGAATGGCTGGTAGGGTGGGGTGAGGAGGGGGCAAGGGGATGAAGTTACCCCTTCCCCTTAGCAGAACTTTGCCTGCAGAAGGAAGCTGGGGCGATTTCAATCCCTTGTTCTTTCCTCACAACCCCGCCCCCCCCCCCCCCGGCCCAGGTGGCTGCTCCTCTGCATGGGTCTAGCAACCCCAGAAATGACCTTTCCAGGGGCTGGAAAGAGCTGCAGCAACTGAGAGGACCTTGGGGAAAGTGCACCTTCTGCATACAGGCTAGTATGCTGCCCAATCATTCATACGGAGATACTATCAGTATGCTGCTGACACCTGTCTTTTTTCCTCTAAGTGTAGAATCAGGTGGGTTTGTAGATGTCCCTGATGAATGTTTGGAGGTGCTAACAGGCCAACTGAGAGTGCCAAACTAAACCTCAGTCTAGACAGGAATGAGGTATAATTGGCCAAGTTGATCGTATTGGAGATTAAGGAGGCAGCCTGTTCTGGATGTAGCTGCAATACTCCTAGATTCATGGCTAGGAGGTGCTATTTGATCAAATGGGGGCTCAGGTTTCCTATACAGTTTGTGGTGCCTTTTACCAACTTTGGTTGGTGCACCACCTGCAGCCTTTGACCACAGCTGGCCACAGATTTGGCCACAACTAACTGTAATACACTTTATGTGGGGCTACCCTTGAAGACTGTCCCCAAACTTCAAACACTACCAAATGTCATAACGAGTTGGCTATCATAAGCTATAGACACCTGTCTTTAAAGGGCTACACTGGCAGCCAATTAGTTCCTGGGAATAATCCAAAGTGCTGGTTTTTACCTATGAAGTCCTAAATGGCCTGGGACCAGAGTACATGGACAACTGACTTGCCTGTACCAACCTACCCACCAACTCAGAACTGTTTTGCATGCCTCCATATTCTGAAGTGAGGTGGGTTTTTTTCAGACTCAGGCTTTTTCACTAGCGGCATCTCAGCCATAGAATGCCTGGAGCCTCATCTTTAAAGTTTTAGATACCAGGTGAAACTTTTTTCCTTGCTCAGGGCTTTGGTTAATGTGGTTTATGATTTAAGACTGTCCTTGATAAAATTACTTAATATGTTAATTTAAAGTGATTATAATGAAGATAGTCTTAAATCAAAGCTGTTTCATCTTTTTAAACAACTCCTCTACTGAAGTTGGTCTCTGAATGTGCACTGTGTACCTATGTAGCTTAGCTAACATTCTAGCTTGATAGCCAGTGCGCTGTAGTGGCTGAAGTATCACACTAGGATCTCGGAAACCCAGGTTCAAATCCCTGCTCTGCCATGTAAGCTTGCTGGGTGGCCTTGGGCCAATCACATACTCTCAGCCTAATCTTTCTCACAGCATTGTTGTGAGGGTACAATGGAAGAATGACGTAAGCTGCTTTGGGTCCCCACTGGGAAGAAAGGCAAAATATAATGAGCAGGACAATTATATTTGCACCAGACACTATTAAAACACTGATATTTTGCCTTTCCTCGTGGTTCAAGGTGGCTTATAATAACAGTTAAAAACATTTTTGGTTCAAATCCAAAAATGAAATAATAAATCTCAAATCCCTCCCCCTTTCAAAGATGCCTGCCAATTCAGACTCCCTCAAATACCCCGACAAACAGGCAAGCCTTCTGAAAATCTCTAAGGGGGGGGTCCCCCCTTCCTTCTTCAGGGAGTCCATTCCACAGAGCCCAAGCCATGATGGAAAAAGCCCAGGCTCTGACTGATGCCAGACTGGTCCACCCTAAGTGGTGGGACAGCCAAAAGATGGCTGCCTGACAACCCGTAGTTGGCGCTATTTACACAATGCTTGGCCAAGAGGCAGCATCATTAGGGAAGAGAATATGGTCTGGCTGATAGGTCTTCATCCCGGTTTTACTGTGTGCTTGTATTTCTTTCCTATTGTGTTTACTGAATCCTTTGCAAACTACCTTGGGGTACCATTTGGTTGAAAAGTTGGCCTATAAGCCAGGTAAAAAAAATAATTAATAACATACCTAAATTTTCAAGGTCTTTTCTTGTGACAAATTTGTAATCATCATATACTGTTGTCTCTGGGTTCTCCTCCAATTCTTCTGTTAGACTATCAAGGAATGAGCACCATTTTGGAGCGGGACCTAACACCTGCAGAAAGAGTGAAGTTAAGACATACCCACAATCCATCTTTTCTGTGACAGTAGCCCGGCTAGGGTTGGCAGCACACGTGGAGAAAAAGTGTCCTGTTTTCATGCTATTTTCTGATTTGATCATACTAGTTGACATGAGCTGTCTCAAGCAGTCCTTTGAAGAGGCACATATAAATTTTGTAATTATTATTATTACAACAACAACATGATTATACACAGATAATATCTTAATTCTGTAACAGGGATTCACAGATCCCTGATGCTTTACTCCTCTCCGCTTTCCTTCATCTCAGTGATAAAAAACTAGTTAACATCTCCCATCTTTAATTGGTAGAACTATTGTGGCATTGTGTAGATTTTCACAGCTGCAATTCTTTAGCCCCTGCTACCTGGGAAGTGCAATGTTTCAGTCCCCTTCCTTCACTTTAATTGGGATGTGACCATAATGCCCTTGACACATGCACATTCACACTCAGATAAAGGAAGGATTCAAACAGGACAGAACAACTGATTCCCTGACAAAGGAGTATGAAATTAAACAAGTTAAGAGGAACACGTTTTACAGATCTGTACATCCTTTCTTGAGATCAGTTATTATTTCAAATGTGTAAGGAAAAAAGGTCACACTGCTGTATCTTAAAATGTAAGTTTCCATTTCATTTCAAATTCAGGCTTGCTGAATGTTTTTCCCACTGGCAATCTCTCTCTTCCACTGCCATGCAAACCCAGTCACACCCACTGAAGTCAGACTGTCAGTGCATCAAGTTGAACATCAAAAGCTGCCTTTCCAGAGGAAAAGAAACAGGAAATAATGGCAAGGTTAAAAGACCCAAAATTTCTATGAAATAGAACTCTTCATAGCCATTTCCTTTTCTATTGCATCAGTGGTGATAACCATAGTGGAAACAAACAAGACAGAGCAAAAGACAGTGGCAGCTATCCAGAAACTCGTTATTTGATTAACAAAACAACTGGTACAGCACATAGATTGTCTTAATATGCTTGAGATTATTTTATACCATGCCTTTCTTCTACCATGAAACTTAAGGAGGTTTTTCTTTGGGGTGTTTAGGATCTGGACAAAAGGATGGCAAGCAGATCTCCCACGATCTATGGAATGTAGAGCTGACCTTTGATTGGAATGTAGGGTCAGTTTGCAGGACTACTTTGTCCTTGTGAAAAATACACAACTCAGCTTTAATGGATAAGGTGCCCAACTCCTAGACCCTTCTTGCTGACATCACTGGAAGTGTTTTCATCCTCAGCAATTTTAGGGGTATTTCCCTGAGTGGTTCAAAGAGGGAGGGTCATCAGCAATGTTAACACCATGTGTAACCTCCACATGCGGAACCTGTGGATTTGAGGGGGATTCTTGAGGATGGTGCCTCTGAGGAATTGCCTTATGTGAGGGTGATTGGAAAGGCTATTGCGTTCAAAGTGTGGTAGCACTGACAACAATGTGGACACTTGTCTTCTTTGGACTGGTGCCTTAAGGCTTGAAGATTAGTCATCCTGGAGAAAGGCTAGCAGAGCCTCTAAAGGTGGATTCAAGAAGTGGATTGCTTTTCTCCCGCAGCAGAGCCTCTAAAGGTGGATTCAAGAAGTAGATTGCTTTGCTCCGGTACCACCTAGCAAAGGCTTTCCAGAAGGTGTTGAATATCCTGTTTGTTGACTGTCTTCTAGATGCTAACAGAGTGTCTGTCATGCTGGGGGAATATCCTAGCCAGATGGTCAGTCACAGCCACTCTGGGTGAAAGTGCTAGATAGGACCCTGTTGTAATATATCCAGAGAAACTGGTAACATTAGAGGGGGTGAGGTCGCCATCTCCTGTAGTGCTGAAAACCACATTGAGGCCACAGCTAGGCCACTACTATGACGCCCACTTTCTGCTTCTTGGTCTTTCTTATCATCTTCAGGATGATTGGTATGAGTGGAAAAGCGAAGAGTAGACCTGTTGGCCACTGGGACATTAAGATATCTGTTGCCTCTGCTTGTGGATGGAAGAACCGGGTAATGAATCGGGGGAGTTGATGGTTGAATGGGGATGCAAACAGGTGCACCAACAGAAGACCAAAGTGGAATATGATTAGCAGAAAGAGGTCTTTCTTGGGCAACCATTTCCCTTTTTGGATGGTCTCCCCGCTGAGCCAATCTGTCTGTCACGGCAGGACCAGGGGGCGTGACACAAGCAAGCAAAAGTCCAGGAACAGTCCGAGGTCAAGCCGGGCAAACCAGGTAGCAAGGTTCAAGCAGGTTTAAATCACAGTCCAAAAGCAGGGTCAGACATACCAAAGTTTCAAGTCCATAAATCACAACAATACCAGAGGAGTCAGAGATGAACGCAGGGTCAACAAAGCCGAAGGTCAAAAGCCGAGGATCAAGCCAAGAAGAATTCCACAAGGTCTGGAGCAGAGATGCAAGGATTCAGGTCCTGAACAAACGACGTTGCCAGCACAAATGACTGCTGGCAACAGACTTGCATATATACAGTGCTAGCTAATCAACTCATTAGCTAGCCAGGAGGGAGGACAGGATCCTGTCAGTAATCAGGGCTAAGAGATCTTCTGGCACGCATGCATGCATTCTGCCTTCGCTCTCTCAGCTGTTGTCTTCTTACATTCCTGAGCCTGGTTACAGGTGGAGGCGAGTCTGATGATGAATTACTGGGCTGCAGCAGAGACTGATCCCTTGCAGGTGTTCCCTGGGAGGCTCTATCCTCCTCACCACTTAGATAGCTTTCAGCTACAGGATCCAGTCTTTGCCTTTCTGCTGCAGTACTGTCCTCAGGAGCCTGTTCAGGGGCATCAGCAAAGGCAGGCATGACATCAGCAGGGGCAGGCATGACACTGCCTGCACATTTTTTGATCCCTTGATGTGTTCTGCTCTTATTGACGCTAAGACATCATCCAGGGTTGCTCTCCCATCCGTGAATATCTGTCTCACCATTAGGATGTGGTATTTCTTCCCTTGGAGGAGATTGGTCACTTAGGGTTCTTTACGACTCTTTTGATGTAATTTTGAGGGCTTCTGCATACAAGCATCAGAGCATGACTAGGAATTAATTGTCTTTTTAAGCAAATACCCATTAAAGGATTTAAGCAGATATTGGGCTTGCTCCCCTGTAGAGGACATTTTGTTAGCATCCCATAACAATAATGGTTTTCTCCTTTCCTCAGTGAACACTCTTATAGGACATATGTGAAATAAATCAATAAAATTCCTCATTTTTAGCAGCATAAGGGGACTGTTAGTTTGTCTAAATGTTAATACTCTCCAACCAAACTTAATACTTGGAAGTCTCATTATCTGCTCAATACAAAGCAGCTGACTCAATGATTGAACAATCTCTCTTCCGTTCACCCATCGATCTCAGTTTAGGGAGTTTCTGGCAATTAACAATACTAGGCTATTTTGCAAAATTAAGTTACCTGTTACTCTTTTAGTTGGATTTATTTATTTATTTATTTATTGAGATTTTTACGAAATTTAGAAATAACTGATGGAGATTTTCCCTTCCTTTGTTCTTTTTCTGGAAGAACATCCATCTAATCTCTTAAAGCATCCAATTTAGTTGAGATTTTATTAAGTTTTTGATATATAGCCGCCACGGTGTCCAGTGTGAGTAGACACTGATCTCCTACTATTTTTAACAAATCATCCTTAGATAATCCTCCCACACTTTCTTCCAGAACAGCCGAATCTAAATTAGGGATACCGAGGGTCTTGAGCCATGTGTCTTACAAATAGACCTGGAGACCCACTGTTGGCATTGCATACAGCTGCGGCTGCAACTTAGTGCACTGAGTAGTTTCTTAGATGACTCTCATTAGAAGCTTTGTTGCTTACATGGTTTATGGAGTGGGAAGGTACTCAGCAGCCTCCTGGACTCTAAAGAGAGAAGGAAACCAGGAGGTAAGGAGAACAGCCCAGATTTGCAAACGTTACCCAAATGCTGAAAATCTGGCATGTTGTTTGGGTCCTATAGAGAGTCCTGTCTCTATTAGCCCATTTTTGAGTGTCTCCTTGCTGTTTGTGAGGCTTGTGGATGTAATACGAATCTCCCTGTGGCCTCACAGATTGATTGCCATCGGCTGCAGAGGCGTTTGAAGGGCCCAGCAGGAGAGCTGAATTGAAGCAAGGTTGTCACGGGCTGGGGTGCCAGTCAAAGGGAGTCCAGAACAGGCCAAGGTCAGGAGCCAAGAAGACCGTGCAAAGTCCAAAAAGCCAAGCCATGGTCAGGAGCCAGGAACACAGAGCCAAGTCCAAAGCCAGGGGGTCCAAAGGTCTAGGTGCAAGAGTCAAGCCAGAATGGATGCTAGCGGCATGAAGCTGACTTGTTGCTTCCACAAAGAGTACTGCCCAGAGTGTGGAGTTAAATGCTGCTACCAATTAGCCAGCTACACGATCGGCCAGGCTCCTGTTAGAACTCTGGGCTGGCTGAGCGTCTCCCTTGTAGCCTGGCCTCTCTTCATCTACTTGCTAAGTTTTGCCGCAGTTGCTCCCTTAAACAAGTCAAACCTGGAGGTGAGTCAGGAGGACTTTCAGCTTGCAGTTCTTCCTTCTTATCTGGGCCAGGTGTGAAGACTGCTATTAAAGGCACTTGCCAGCTATCCTCCTCTGCTGCTTCAGAGGGGCCGGCTGTGGTTTCTGCAGGCTCTGTCAGCTCATCCTCGTCCATGCCCATGACAAAGATAGACTGCAAAGTCAGAATTAACTTCTAGAGCTTTTAGGGCTCCACTATTGAGAAAGCGGCCTGAAGAAGTCAGAAGAAATGGACGGCAACCTAGGCGATCCGTAGCTGCTTTATTTGTGACTATGTTCAGAGACAAAAAGGGAGTGATCAATAACTGCTGTGAAAAGGGACTGCAAAAGAAAGTATTAATTCATTTTAAGGACAGTTTGTTGTCTAATACTTTATGTGTACAATGATTTTTTTTTTTGTGGTTTGCATACTTGCATATGCTGTACTGGTGGTCGACTTTGCTCTCCCCGTTGAG